CCCAAACTATGGAGCACCATGCCAGCCCTAGACTGCCTACCATCAGACTTTATTGACATGAAAGAGAAATGTCTCTACTTTTTTAAAACAAATTATTATTAAGGCTTTTGTGTCACAGCCACCCGGTTATAAATGTTGTACATTATGACTTTGAAAAGTAGTGCCACATAGTTTTGCTTTTAGAAAGGTCTTTTTGGAGAATAGAGTGCAGGCAGATTGAAGAGCAAATTGAAGGGAGTCATGGAGACAATGGGACAGTGGTCACGGGAGGATAATGTAAGGTCTGAATCCATATGGGAACAATTTAGATGGGAGTAGGGGCAGCCAAATTCTCCCCAAACATAAAGGAGAGAATGATAAACTGGAAATGATCTGATAGGTGTTCCGGGGCCACCTCAATAACAGCGCACACTTTCATCTGACCCCAGCCCACTTATCCACCTCATTGCCCACCTCCACCCTCGCACAGTGAGTTCCAGAATCCTCCCCCAGCAAGCTGGTCTTCCAAGAGTGCACCTTACTGGCTCTTTGCACAATGGTCCTGCACCTGCTGAATCCTTTACCCCGCAAGGCCTTAATCTCCTATGCCCCTCCACTCCCTCACTGGCTAATTTCCACTTGTCACTCAGGTCTTATCTGAAACTGGGCCTCCTCCAGTAAGTCCTCCGGGATTCCCTCCTTTCCCAAAGGTTCTCCTCTGGAGCCCTCACCCCGCGATGCTGCCCTTGCTTTAACATTTGCCAGGCTGCCTTATAATTGTCTATTTATAAGTCTGCCTCCAGCACCAGGCTGGGAGCCTTTCGCTGGTGAGAATGGAACCCAGAGGGGCCCAGATCAGGACACGGCATTAAAAAAAAAAAAAAGAGTGTCCCACTTGCCACAGGGTCCTGTTCTCAGCTTAAGAACTTAACGCTCTTACAATGCTCGGTAGAGCAACACAGCAATTGAGCGAGGGAGTGAACTAATGAATGAGCGAGGGAATGAATGAATGAGGTACCCACCAGGGGGCGATGGCGCTTTGCCACGGAGTCCCTGGCTGCCGAGACTGGGAAATGCCGCTTTCCCACCGCCCCCCTCCCCTTCGGGTCTCGCCACTCCCCCTACCCCAACCCACCCCCAATCCCAAGAGGGAATCGCCAGGGCCCTGCCCGCCCCCTTCCCGCCTCAGATAATTAACTCGAACCAATAAAACGCTGATTGCGGCGCCTTTGTACGCGCCGCCTTGGCATTGTCATGGAAAACGGGGTCCCCTCCCCATCCGGGCTGCTAGCCCCTCCCCGGCCCCCGCAGCTGGCCCACAGTCCGCCCGAGCCACCTGGACGGGACCGGGGGACCCCCGAGCCGTCGGGCGCCCCGTCCATCTGCTCCCCACCCCCACCCGCACCGTCAGCTGCGGACCCGGCCCACCCAGGGGGGCCGGCGACGGCGCCCTGCGAAGCCAGCACCCCTTCCTCCCGCTCATCCCGCGGGACCCCAGGGGGGCCGCGTCCGGAGTCCCCGCCTGAAAGCCTGGGCTCTGTCCCCAGAGACAGCGCGGCCGGAGTGGTGTTCACGGTCGGAAATAATAACGATGATGAGAAGCCGAAGAGTAGGGAGGAAACCGGTGGGAAAGCTCACCCCTCATTCCTAGTCCCTGGGACAAGCTTCCAGAAATCTACCATACACGTATCCGTACATATATGGATATATTTTAGAGCGCACACAGGAGAAGAGTAACAGGGAGACAGTCGGGGGGGGGGGGGTCACCCTTCATCCTCACACCCCCACACTGTGAGCTGGGGAGGGGTGGTGTTTGTCCAGAGAGCTTTCTCTACATGCACACTTAAAATCAATGTATCTGTGCTTGCAAGTACAGACACATTTATACTTCTAAACCTATGCACACCACGAATGCACATACCTACATACACAGACCTACATGGGATCACCCCTACTTCTCATCTACCAGCTGCTTTATTTTACTTGAGTAGTGATCTGCTGGAGATCTTTCCATGGCATGGCTATTTACACAACAACCAGGGCCATAGGCCCCTTCTGCTGACCCCCATCCCCACCCCACTTCAGCCCCGGTGGATCTGCTGTCTGGCCAGTGTTGTCCCAGACTCTCAGTTGTGGGCGAGGGCTCTGCCCTTCATCCTCTGTGAAAGGGACGGTGGGGTCTGTGTGTTCCTTCCAAGGAAACTGCAAGCTCTGTGAGCTGCCTTTCTGCAGAGAGAAGTCAAATCATAATCATAGTAGGAGTGGGGGTGATAACAGATGTAAAGAAAAATATCCAAAACAGGAACATAAGACAAAAGGAAGCCAGTGTGCCCTTTCGAGGTCATTCTAAGACACTGATCAGCCTGACTGGGTCACCTGATTCTCTAGGAGAGGTAGCTTTGTTTGACTTTGCTGTTTGTTATTGATCAGACTTCCCACTCGGGGAAGTTACACTTTAACTTTTAAAAGATGCGCAGTTGCAAATGATTTTTGCCCTGAACTAAAAATAAAGCTGAAGCTTATGGTTTTGTCCCCATGTAAGACCTTAACTGGTTTTGTATCTAATTTTGCCATCTTGCCCTCCAGTGAACTGTCCGGCTGGTTCCGTCATTCATGAGTTAAATAAACCTTTGACCCATGCTCACTATATTTCCATAAGATTCGTGTTTTCAAACTTTCTGAAGGAATGCTTTGACTACGTCCACCCTTCTGGAAGGCTCACTCTGTGCCAGGCACCATCCTCATGGCTTCACGTGGAAGGAGTGGCTGAAAAGAGCCCCTCGGTGAGACAAACCTGGGAGGGAATTCTTCCTTCTACCACTCACCTGCTGTGAGACTTCATGCCAGCCTTTATTAACCACCAACTGTGTACCAGGTGCATTCACTCTGTCATCTCATATTCAACTCAAATTGCACAAGAACGCTGCAAGATGAGATTTGCCTGCATTTCTCCAGTTTTGTGCACCTCCCTCGCGCACATCTGTCCTCGTTGAGCCTCGGGGTTTCCGGCTGTACGATGGGTTGGTAACAGCGGTCTCCCAGACCTTCGTGAAGATGTAGTGTGACCTGCTTGAGAAGGCAGTTCCATCATAAATGTGTCTTGTTACATATGTTTCTGCTAACGGGTTGCTCAGGAAGGGCGATTCATGTACCCAAAGTCGCAAGGTCCCAAAGCCTGGGCTGTCAATCCTGCTGCTTTAGTCACTTAAAATCCCAGAGCCTCCATTTCCACATCTGTCAAATGGGAATAATAAAACCAAGAGGAGCTGTGGCCAGAGGAAAGCAGATCTGCCTGGCAGTGGGATTGGCAAACTGTCCCCTTTGTGGTTGGGTGACACTCTCGAATGTGCTGGTGTCAATCAGGGTCATCTGCTGAGGTACCTTTTTGGTTCTTGCTCTTAGAACTGGCATCAGACAAATATTTTTCTGTCTCCCACCCCCATTAGGGCGAGCATTTGGGCCCCAAGCTCTGGGCTTTTGCTGGGACATCCTCGGCCGCTTCTCTGTATGTCCGGGGTTTCTCTCCTGAGACGGACCCCACCCAAGTGCAGGGTCAAAGGTGGCAGATCCCAGACCTCAGGCTTGGATGCTGCATTTGTTTTCTGGGGCTGCTGGAACAACTTACACAACAAACTGGCTTAAGACCACAGAAACGTATGAGCTCACAGTTCTGGAAGCTGGAGGTCTGAAATCGAGGTGTCAGTGGGGCCCTGTGGGGGTTGCCAACAATCCTTGGCACTCCGGCTTGTAGGCCCGTCACTCTGTTCTCTCTCAGTCGCCACATGGCATCCTCCCTGGATGCCTGTGTCTGTGTCCAGATTTCCCTGTTCTCATAAGGACACCGGTCATGGGACTAGGATCTACCCTCGTCCAGTATGACTTTACCTTCACTTGATTACATCTGCAAAGACACTATTTCTAAATAAGGTCACATTCTGAGGTTTCAGGTGGACATGGTTTGGCGGGGGGGAGTTATTCAATCCAGAAGAGACTTTAAGCATCTCCCTGAGCTCCTGAAGGGAGCCAACCTGCCTCACATTTTCTGGATTGCAAAAATCCCAGGATTCCTGTGTTTCGTCCCTCTGGATGAAGAATATCAGCTACCTGGCCATCTTGTCCCCAAGGAGCTAGGAGCTGTGCTTCCTCTGATCGGACAAATAAAGCACCCATGTGCTGGGGGACATTGGCAAGTGCCCACTGCCCTGATCTCTCTGCTCAAAGCATGTGCAAAGGTACCGGGCTCTGAGATGCCAGTGGGCCAGCCTCCCCTCTCTGGTCTCTACATAACTCATCAATCCCATGGGCATGATGACGACAATTGCACTTATCTGAATTTTGAGAACAAGCAAACTTTACGATGACAAAAATCAGAACAGTGAACAGCAGGACCTAATGTAATATTGTGAGTCAACTGGGTGAATCAAGGGGTTCGGCCTCTGCCTTCAGCTCAGGTCATGATCTCCGGGTCATAGGATCGAGCCCCACATCAGGCTCTCTGCTCAGCACAGAGCCTGCTTCCCCCTCTCTCTCTGCCTGCCTCTCTGTCTACTTGTGCTCTTTCTCTGTGTGTCAAATAAAAAAATAAATAAATCTTAAAAAAATAAAATCAGAAGAGTGGTTACCTGGGGGATGGGCAGGAGAGACTGCGCTGGTGCCCGAGAATGTTCCTCGTCTTCATCTGGGTGGTAGTCACACAGCTGTGTACTTGCATAAAAATTCACTGAATTGCACACATTAGATGTTTGTGCTCCAGGTATTTTATTGTATTTTATATCTTACTTACAAGTCAGGTAGCCAGGCAGGTAGGAAGGAGGAAAGAGAAGCGAAGGAAGAAAGGTGAGTGCAGTGATCCCAGTCAGGCCTGGCTTCCAGCACGAAGTGAAGATGTCTGTGCTTAGGCCTTTCTGCAAATGGTGGGCAGAGGGGCAGCAGGGTCAGAACTTGGCAGCAGAAACAGAACGGAAGAGTGGCAGCTGGCATGCCCCTGTCTTCACCACCCCCTGCCCCAGGCCTCCACAGTGGAAGACAGAAAAGTAGAACTTCAGTCACATGTACTGTCCGTGTGACTTCAGGCACGGTCTTCGCCTTCCCTGGGCCTCGGGCTTCTCGCCTGGAAAGTAAGGGCAAGCCTCTCAAAGAACTGTGAAGACTGAGACACTGGCAGGAGCCTGCTGCTCTTTCCAGCCTCGCCCCGCACAAGGACGGAGACCAGCCCGGCAGGGCTGCCAGCTGAGAGGGACCAGAGGATCCCCCGCCTCACATCGTGGACCCGGACTCATCTTGTTTCCTCCTCAGAAAAATGCCTTCCCTCCTGCAGGTGTCCTTTCCTCCCCCCAGCCCACCTCGAGTAATCGATCGCCGCTTTTCTTTGACTCGGTTTGCTCATCTCTAAAATGGGCAATGGTACCAGTGCCTGCCCCATCCGGTGGCTGTCAAGATGCAAGGAATTTGCACTCACGGCAAGGACAGGAACAAAGCAAGGACTCGGGGGTGCTGATACAGCTATCCATGCCTACCCACTGCCCGCACTCCCACCGTGTGGCACCCGGGGGGGCCCTGTGGCGCTGGGCACACCCTTTGTGCAGGCGAATGGCAAGGGCACCCCAGAGCACCCTGCCTCCTGAGGCCACTGCCTGCCAGGCTGAGCAGCTCAGCTGTACCAGGGCCAGATGCATGGTTCTGCCAACCACGCCAAGAGAGGCTGTCACTCGGTGGCACAAAGGCAGCTCCTCGCGCTCGTGGTGGGCGGGGCCCAGGGAAGCGCTCCAACCACCTGGCTGGGCAACTGCTCCTGGGGCGGCCTGGCCCCACGCCTGGGCCCCCCCCTCTCTGCGCAGTGGAAGGATGGGGGGAGCAGGGAGGGCAGCAAGATGCCTAGTGGACAAGGAGTAAGCAAGGGCCACAGAATCTGGAGGGAGGGTGGGAGGAAGACAGGGAGATAGCATGGACAGTAGGAGAAGAAAAGGAGAGAGGGGAGAGCATTAAGGGGAAGCAGCAGACACCTAGCACCTGCAGGGGCCGGGCCCTGGCCTCACCTATTCCTCAGAGAAACTTCCAGGACAGATACTGTTAGGATCCCATTTTACAGCCCAGGAAACCAAAGCACAGAGAGCTTAGGTAACAGGCCCAAGGTCACACAGCCAGCAGGTGGCAGAGCTGAGATTCGAACCCAAGACAGCCAGAATCCAGGCTTAGTCATCATGAACGTGAAGAGGAGGGAAAGGGGGGAGGGCAGGAAAAAAAAAAACAAACTGTGAGAAGAGGAGAAAAAGGAGAGGAAGGAGAAAAAGAGAAACAGAAGGAAAGAAAGCAAAGATGGAAGAGAGACATGGGGGCGAGAATTAAGGAGGGAGGGAAGTAAGCAGCGGAGGGGGAAGGAGGCCTTCTTCTGCCCGCCCTCTCCCCTCCCCAGCCTCCCTCACACCCTCTCCTCAATGGCAGGGGCTGTTTCCTGGGTCACACACGGGGCTGGGAACCACCCCGACCCCCACGTCAGGCCAGGTTGGTCCTCCGGAAACAGCAGCCTCCCTGAGAGGGGGTCGGGTCCAGCTGCTGCCCCAAGGCTGTGTTCTCAGACTCACACCCTCTGGCTTCTGTGCACCTTTGTGAGGCGGAGCCCTCAGCTTCAGCAGCAGGCAGAGCCGGGCCAGAGGAGTGGGCCTGCACACAACCGAAAGACTTTCTTGCTCTTCCTCTTAAACCTGTCTCCCAGGTGGGGCCGCCAGAGGCCCACTAGGCCCTCACAGGGGCAGCCTGCTGAGAACACAGAGGAGAGGAAGGGAGAGCCCAGGCCCAAAGCTCAGCCTCCACCAAGCCTTCTATGTGGGCTACATTATCTAGAGAAGCGAACAGCAGCTCCGAGCCTGGGGCAGTGTTGACTCCTCACTAGGAATACATGTCCATGGGGGCCCAGCTGGGTCTTTGGAGTCTGGAGGTCTAAGGTCTGGTCTGGGATAGACTGAGATCCCTCTGAGATTGTCGCCCAATTTAATTCTGTGTGTACCTGAACTTCTCTGGAGAAGACACTTTGGTTTCCATTAGACTCCAAAGAAGTTAGATCTCCCAAAAAGTCATTCCAAGACATTCAGCTCGAACAGTCAAACAGTGACTTAATGAATTGAGAAAATCACAGAACAGGGGGCCTGAATCTTGGGACTCTGACGGCGGGGGCCTGAAGTGTTATAAACTGTTTATCTCTATGGCTTGGTACATAGTAGGTGTCCAGTAAATGTTTGTGAATGAATGAATGAGAGAGAGAGAAGACAGAGAGGACAGAGCAACAGGAGCCAAGAAAGGATGGGAAGATGTCCTCTTGATTTGATACTGCAGAACAAATCACCCTCAAACTTAGTGACTCAAAACAAGAATCATTTAGTAGGTCTCATGCTTTCCCTGGGTCAGGAATTTGGGACCTGTTGGGCTGGCTGGTTCGGGGGCTGCACTCATCTGAAGGTTTGACCGGGACTGCAGGATCTGCCTCCAAGGTGGCTCATTCATGGGACAGCCAAGTTGGCCCCAGCTGGAGGTGGGACTTCAGTTCCTTGCCATGCAGGCCTTTCCTCCGGCTGCTTGAATGACTCCATGGTGTGGCAGCTGGCTTCCCCAGAGTGATCGAACCTGAGACCAGGACAGAAGCTCCAATACATTTCATGACCGAGCCTTGGAAGTCTCACTCTGCCATTAGCACAAAACCTTGCTGATTACACGGGTTCACTTTATTAGAACTGAACAAGGGCTTGAAAATCAGAAGAGATCATGGGGCCCTGGCAGGGGCTGGAAGTCACAGAGGAGTCCAAGAAGCGAGAGGGAACCCTGAGGAAGTCAGATCCCTGCAGGCGACAGCTCTCCCACAGACAATGGCCCTGCTCTGCACAGAGCTGGGGTCAGGTTTCAAGTCCAGCACTTGAGCACACCGGCCAGGCCAGATTCCACTTTCCACGTCAGTCCTAGCCACACCTTCCCCTACAATCGCAGGATCCAGACCTGCTAATTCCCATCAACTCTCTAAAAGCAGTATGAATTCTCTTACCTGCAAGACTGTTTCTGCTCCTTCCCCTGCCTTGAATGCCCTTCTCACTTTCTCTCCTCTCAGGCTACCTCCTCCACGAAGTCTCCCCGAATGCATCCTTAAATGTCTCAGCCACCTGCCCCAATCCCCAGTGCCACCCCAATGTCTACGTAGACCGCCCCCATACCATGTCTGCCTCCCCCCCCTGCACCGTAAATGCCCTGAGTTGGAGGGTGGACCCACAGGTGCCCATCGCTGTGCGCTGACTGCATGAATGATGGCTGGATACATCCCACACACAACAGGGAGATCCCTTGGGCCTCAGAGAGGCACTGAGGCATGGCTGGGCCTTGGTGTCCCCACTGGAGGATTGTTTAGGAGGCTCCTTCCAGGCCCAAGATTCTGCTATTGTATCTCCCTGGAAACATTCAACACATGGCACCTTGAAATTAGAAGAGATGGGTCAGCGCAGGGTTCGAATCCCAGAGCCTCCACTTACTTCACTTGTCTGATCCGGGAAATCATTGACCTCTCCATACCCGTGATTCCTCGGTTATAAAAGAGGCTAATGGTCTTCACCTTTCAGGGTAGTTGGAAGGGATGAACCCTAGGGCGTGAGAGGGGCTCAGATCCTGTCTCCACCAAGGGACTGATCACCTAATCTTTCACTGCCTCAATTTTCCCATCTACTAAATGGGGCCAGCTATATTTGAGTTCTTAGGTTGGGTCAGAAACCGCATTCATCCAGGTAAATGCTCTGCCCAGAGCCTGGCACACAGCAGACGCCTGTGGCAGCCATGGATGGGGCACTCAGTCTCCCTTCCTGAAGAACGTGTCCTTCAGGTTCAGGGTCAGCAATGGCAGCACCTTCAGGGTCCCCCTCTGCTTTTGAGTCAGGCCACACCCAGGCAATCTCAGCCAGTGTCCGAGCCAGCACAGGAACCAGGGACTGGCCATCGCTGCCTGAAGATAGCAGGCTCCTATAGGGGGTGAACTCCTCTCTGGAGCTCCCTGCTGGTTTCCCATCAGCGGTTGAGGCTGTCCCCTCTGTCCTTCCGCAGGAGCCCTGGCCCAGCAAGCCTCTTATCGTGCCAGCTCCATCTCAGTGTCCGCACCTAGGGGCACCCAAGCGGACCGAGCACACAATGCAGTGGTGGTTCTCAAAGTGTCCCTGGGAGGTAGCAGCAGCAGCATCTCCCGGGAACCGGCTCGACCTCGACGCGCACACGTGAGGACTTTGAGCACAGCTGTCGTGGAAGGGAGCTACTGTTCAGACATCACAGTGGCAGGATGGCCAAAGCGGGGCTGTGTTTTGTGGAAAGGGGAGAATGCTTGATCACAGTCTCACCCCCCCAGGTCCCTCCCTCCCCCAAATCCAGAGGAGTGAAGGAACAGGCCCCTCTCCCTACCCCACTCGGGGGAGGGGTCCAGTCCAGGCCTCCAGCTGGAGACTTCACAGGCTCTGGGTTTGTGAGGCTGCCTACAGCCCTGCCTTCTTCCCCCCTGCTCCCCACCCCTCCCTTTCCCTTTCCTCCCCAGGGGCACCCCAGCCCTGCCCGCCTGCCTCCTCTTTGTCTGCCAATCTGTCTCCATCCCAAGATGAGCCCTGGGCCTCCGCCAGCCAGTCTGTGCTCCACCTCAGGACCTGGAAGGAGAGGCCTCTGGGCTCCCAACTGCCTCTCACTTACCCGGAGAGAGGTCCAGGGATAGTTCGTGTTACTCCCAACTGCCTCTCCCTTACCCCGGGGAGAGGTCTGGGGATGGTTTGTGTTACTGGCCTCCCGGACCCAGCCTCAGTCAACAATCACCCCTCCCGATCAGGAGCCATTCTCTCCCCTCTAGGCTGCTTAAAGCCTCATCATGTGACAAGTAAGGAACTAGGGAACAGAGACGTATAGAGGCTTGCCTGATGTCACACAGCAAGAAAGGGGAGCGACCAGGATTTTGACCTTGCTCTCTTTCCACCTCAGCACCCCACTCTCAGGTCCCAGTAGGTGGCAAGTGACAACAGTGAGGTGGTCATATGTGACAGGGATTCTGTTGGCCTCAAGGCCTTTGTGAGCTTGTCCTTCTCCCTGACGCCACAGCCCATCAGAAAAGGC